GTATCTAACGTACAGATGTAAGGTCAACTTCTCACCAACTGATGTATATCTAACGTACAGATGTAAGGTCAACTTCTCACCAAATGACGTGTTTCTAACGTACAGACGTAAGGTCAACTCATCACCAAATGACGCGTATCTAACGTATAAGTGTAAGGTCAACTTCTCACCAACTGACGTGTATCTAACGTACAGACGTAAGGTCAACTTCTCACCAACTGACGTGTATCTAACGTACAGATGTAAGGTCAACTTCTCACGAGCTGATGTGTATCTGACGTATAAGTGTAAGGTCAACTTCTCACCAACTGACGTGTATCTAACGTATAAGCGTAAGGTCAACTTCTCACCAACTGACGTGTATCTAACGTATAAGTGTAAGGTCAACTTCTCACCAAATGACGTGTATCTACCGTATAAGCGTAAGGTCAACTTCTCACCAAATGACGTGTATCTAACGTATAAGCGTAAGGTCAACTCATCACCAAATGACGTGTATCTAACGTACAGACGTAAGGTCAACTTCTCACCAACTGATGTGTATCTAACGTACAAGTGTAAGGTCAACTTCTCACCAAATGACGTGTATCTAACGTACGGACGTAAAGTCAACTCCTCACTAAATGACGTGTATCTAACGTATAAGTGTAAGGTCAACTCCTCACCAAATGACAACAAGAGGTTATGTTCTACCCTAATCAAAGATATCCGTCCATAATGTCAGTGGAAATATACAAGAGCCTTCTGCTTGAATAAACTGATGGCACTGTTCGTACGACCCTTGAGACACTAGAATAACCATATATATATCTAATTGTGTATGTTGTAGGAGAGGTTTCGGCAGTCTCCGACAGGCATGGTGTTAGCGTGTCGTATTTCCCTTGAATTTTTTTGCTCGGTAACTCTTAACTTATGATTCTAAAAAATATATAGTTATTGGAAACAAACTTTCACTAAAAGTATCAATCACGTAGAATATATAACAATACTGTATGTTGTCTGTCCATGTAACTACTTCGCAGGGTGTGGATGGATCTTCACCAAAATTGGTATGTAGGTTCATTGAGTCAATGGGGAGATACGTACAAATTTTCAGTTTTGTATTTTGCAGTTTTTATGGGCATTTTTACCACTACTTCGCCCCCTGTTGATGAATCTTCACCAAAATTGGTACGAGGGTTTGTTGGCTCGTTGCGGAGATGCAAGTTTGAGATTTTTCACATTTTGTGTTTTTCAATTTTTATGGGCGTTTTTTTTGACAATTAAAAATAAGGAAAGCAACTTTTAATAAAATAACCTTTCATTAGTCATGAATTTACATACCTTCTGTCCCGGGGTCGGGTACTCCAGCTAGTATACTTCATGATAAATTTAACGAGCGTAATTTATTTAACTAACTGGTTACGTCAATCTGGCTCACTGGATCAAAGGCGATAGATAAATATATGTATATTTTGAATTTCGCGCAAAGCTACACGAAGTT